GGCGCCCGGCCGCAGGTGACGCCGACGCCGCGGCCCGGACCGTCCCCCGGGGGTCGCGTCGGTCAAACGCTAACGCTTGGAGGCCGCGTCCGATCTGGGATGTTCCCTGGCCATTCCTGTGACCGTGGAGGGGGGCAAATAAAGCCGGTCCACTTTCGTTCTGACACATTGTTTTCAGCAACAGATATTTCCGGTACGTTTGTGCGGACTGTGCTCAGAAAAGTAGAGACGCCACCGAAGCGTATTTCATCAGAAAGCAGTTTAAACCCAGCTCCAGGCAGCGCTGCGGGCGGCGGGGGGGGGGCGTTCGGTGCGGCGTGGATGTTGGTTCTGCACATTTGCATTTTTACACTTGAAATATCATTTATATTCAACATAAAATCGAACTTGGTAATTACTGTTTATCGGAGAATTCCTGTATTTATTACTTTACAGCACATAGGATGATCAATACAAGGCAGGAATGGAAATCTAGCCTTATTAAAAATTGAAATACGTGGGGCTGGGAAGGTGGCTCAGTGGTAGAGCGCTTGCCTTGCATGCATGAGGCCCTGGGTTCGACTCCTCAGCACCACATAAGAAGAAAAAAGCCGGAAGTGGCGCTGTGGCTCAAGTGGTAGAGCGCTAGCCTTGAGCTGAAGAGCTGAGGGACAGCGACCAGGCCCAGAGTTCAGGCCCACGACCAGACCCCCCCCCAAAAAAATTAAAATATGACAAAGCAGATCTGTGTGGTTATTTTCCCGATGGCCACCTCCTCACCGTGGCTATTTCACCAAAGGGCACACCTGCCCTCTTCCCCCACCACTTGGCAACTCCAGAGTCAGAAATTCTCCATCCATCCTCCACAGGTATAGACACTCCATCCATCCTCCACAGGTATAGAAAAACTGTTACTTGTTTTTTTTTTTCCATTTCCACGGTCTTGTTATCTATTTGTACTGAAGGCTGTTCTCCCCTTTTCCTCCTCATTCTTCTTTCTTTTGGTCACGCTTTAGTGTTAATAAAGCAGACAATAAATCCACAAGTAGTTCTCTTCTACAAAGAAAACCATGTTATTGGGGCTGGGAAGGTGGCTCAGTGGTAGAGCGCTTGCCTTGCATGCTTAAGGCCCTGGGTTCGATTCCTCAGCGCCACATAAGCAGGAAAAAAAAAGCCGGAAGTGGTGCTGTGGCTCAAGTGGTAGAGTGCTAGCCTTGAGCTGAAGAGCTGAGGGACAGTGCCCAGGCCAAGAGTTCAGGCCTCACAACTGGACCCCCCCAAAAAAGAAAAAAGAAAACCATGTTATTGCCAAGTACCAGCTATCACCCTAGCTACTCAGGAGGCTGAGATCTGAGGATTGTTATTCAAAGCCAGCCTGATCAGGAAAGTCCATGAGGCTCTTATCTCCTCCAGACCACCAGCAGAAACCTGGAAGTGGCTCTGTGGCTCAAAGTGGTAGAGTGCTGGACTTACGCCAAAAGGCTCAGGTACACTTGATTGCCCAGGCCCTGAGTTAAAGTCTCATAACAGACAAAAAATAAATACTATGATACTGTCAATAACTGAAAGTGGACATTATCAAAACATGAGAATGAATTGAGTATCATTGGCTGGGATTTAACCACTACCTGTATTTGTTGTATGAGTAAATAAAATTAAATTTAGTTGGGTGCTGGTGCGTGTGTAGTTTTAGCTACTCAGGAGGCTGAGAATTGAGGATCGCAGTTCAAAGCCAGCCTGGACGGGACCATCCATGAGACTCTTATCTGTAAATAACCACCAGAAAGCTGGAAGTAGAGCTGTGACCCAAGTGACGAAGTGCCAGTTTTAAGTTCCTTTTTTTGTTGTTGTTGTTGGTCGTGGGGCTTGAGCTCTGGGCCTGGGCGCTGTCCCTCAGCTCTTCAGCTCAAGGCGAGCGCTCTACCACTTGAGTTACAGCTCCACTTCGGTTTTCTGGTGGTTTATTGGAGATAGAAGTCTCACGGTCTCTCCTGCCCGGGCTGGCTTTGAACCGCGATCCTCAGATCTCAGCCTCCTGAGATTACAGGTGTGAGCCACCAGCGCCTGGCCTTTTTTTTTTTTTTAAGACAGTGTCTTGTTAGGTAGTCTAGGCTGGCCTGGTGCTGTGGATCCGCTTGCCTCTACTTCCTGAGTTACAAGATAACAGATGTGTAGCACTATGCCAGGCCTAATGTATAGGTTGCATTTTAAATACCCCCCAGCAGCTGTATGTGTCAAAGGCCTGGTTCTAGTCTGTGGTGTTACTGGGTAATGGGTCTTTAAGCCGTAGGGCCTAATGGAAGGATGCCGGGTCTTCGGGGGAAGGCCCTTGAAGGAGATGTTGAGACCCTGTTTCTCTTTTGCTTCTGGACTGCTGTGAAGTGAATGGCTTTGCTCCACCACACTCTTCTCTATAAAGTCCTCACACTGGCCCCAAAACAACGGGGCCAACAGACCACACACAGACAGAGAACTCCAAAACTAGAAGTCAGGATGAATCTTACCTCCTTTCTCAGGTAATTTATCACAACAGTGGAAACCCAAGGAACATTTCTCTGGGACATTAGATATCTGGCTATTTCCTGCATGGGTTCACACTACTATAGCTGGTTGCCTGCTGCTCTCTAGACAAGGTATACATGCTGCGCACCACGCTTGATGCAGTCCTTGGTTTTAGACACCTGGCCACTGCAGGCACTGAGTTTACAGTCTTTAGTTTACATAAACTTGTGAAAGACAGTTGCAGAAAAGGTACACTTGAGAAGAGATGCGCTTAGGCTGACACAAACTATACATCCCATGCTTTCCTTTCCCAGACTCAGGTACGTCCAAGGAAAATTTCAATAAAAGCCAGTAATAATGTATTTGTGTTTTACTTTCTACTTAGAAAGTCCTTGCCTTGGTTCAAATGAACATTCCTGGAGGTCTTGATTAGAGGAATGCAACAGTCAACTGTGGACAACTGCACAGGGCCACAAACGTGATGGGAACGGTGAGAATAAATGATGGTCGCAAGGTTTCACCATGGTTGAACCATGTCCCATGTGCTCCAAATACTTCACATAAGCTAATGTATGTCGCTGCATCCTGCCTTATTTGTTTTCATTGTGTGTGTGTGTGTGTGTGTGTGTGTGTGAGATGCAGGGCTTGACCACAGGTCCTTGTGTGTGGTAAGTATTCTATCCCTGAACAACGTCCCAGCTGGAATTTAAGTTTCCTATTTGCTGTCTCAACTTTTTTTTCCCCTTCATCTTAGAACCCTACAACTCAGGCCAGGGGTGGGTGTAATAATATGTCTTAGGGAAGCACAGCTGTTGTCACTGATTGGTCCTAACAAGCACTTGCATGTGCTTTCTTTGGTCTCCTGGAGCTCATCCTTCTGGGGCCTTTGTTGCAGTGGGTGGTTCCTTTTTCTATTGGTCTCAGATTTCTCACCTCAGCAAGAAATGCAGAGCCTGGTCATGCCACTATTCAGGAGGCTGAGATACAAGAATCGCAGTTCAAAGCCAGCCCAGGCAGGAAAGTCTATGAGACGATTAGCTCCAGTTAACTACCAAAAAGCCGGAATCTGTGCTGTGACTCAAAATGGTACATCACTAGCCTTGAGCACAAAAGCTCAGGGACAGCACCCAGGCCCTGAGTTCAAGTCACAGACAGGCAAAAAAAAAAAAAGAAGAAGAAGAAGAAATGAATTCAAGAGCATGGTATCAGTGCCTCACACCTGGAATCCTAGCTACTCAGGAGGCTGAGATCTGAGGATCACAGGGCAGGAAAGTCCATGAGACTCTTATCTCCAATAAACTACTCAGAAAAATCCAGGAGTGGCTCTGTGGCTCAAGTGGTAGAGCACTAGCCTTGAGGACAAAGAGGCTCAGGGACAGAGTTCAGGCCCTAAGTTCAAGCCCCAGGACCAGAAAAAAAATCCTAGAAATGCAGTATTCTTTTTTCTTGGCAGAGGAAAGAATCTGCCAAGTTGCTGCAACAAAGGAGAAAATGACATGTGAAACAAAGACATTAGATAGGCTAAGAGGAGATGGATGTGATGGACACTTTAGCCAGCCTCCCCTCCCAGATCACCAGCAAAACCAACGGAAGCCAGTGGCAAGCAGCACTTGAAAAGATTACAGGTTTGTCCAAATGATTATCCAAGGTGAAGACCAGGAGAAGAGGGAAGTAAACTCACAGTCACATCCCATTAGGACCCAAGTACAACCCGCAGGGAAGTACTTAAATAATACATGTACTTCCAAATAATAGAACATTTGTGAAAATGGTTCAATAAAATGACCCATTATCATGTACCACATGAAGAGAAGGAGAAGCCAATAAATTATGTACAGAAATATACTTAAGAGTTAAGTCATACAAAAGAAACCAACAAGTTTTTACCACAACTACAGATGTTACTATCTCCAGATTTAAAAAAGTTTTCCAGGGGGCTGGGAAGGTGGCTTAGTGGTAGAGCGCTTGCCTTGCATGCCTGAGGCCCTGGGTTTGATTCCTCAGCACCACATAAGCAAAAAGAAAAAAGCCGGAAGTG